TCGAATGGTGCCATTTCGTCTTGGTGGTCGTCTCCGGCGAGCTGGTGCTCTCTTTCGAATGGTGCCATTTGCCCCCTCCCGCATGGTGCCATTTGGTCTTTGTGGTTGTCGTGGTAGGCCAGCCATGATGGGTGGGGCTAGGGGTCGACGTGGCGCCCCACCCTTTGTGGTGTCGTGAGTGCCAGCCTTCTGGAATGGCTGCGGCCGAGGCGAACGGCAGCAAAGCCGGAAGTATAACGATAGTGAACTTCATCTTCTCAAGACAACTTCGAACGAGAGGCCGAGAGAAGATAGAAGAGATTGAACTTGAAAGATGAGGTGAAGGGGGGCATCCCCCTCAGCTTAAATAACCAGAGATGAAAGACGAAAACTTTGGGCCCACGGGGTAAGAAGGCGGGTGAGGTATGGCTTACGAGGTCGTTTCTGGCATTGATCCGTCCATTGACCATCGCGTGATGGATGCTGACCAAGGCTGCTTACCACAAGCAGGAGAGTTAGGCTCACGCCGGGGCAGTATTTGGCATGAGAGTTTCTTCTGCTTGCCGGAATCGTCGCCTCTGCCAGGTGAGGTATCAGATCGGGATGGTCGGAGACAGTCTGAGACAGCAGATCGGCATGCCAGGCCGGTGACGAAAGCCTCCAATTGGCCTAATGGGTCATGTTGACTGTACAGATGCCGAGCGGCTGGTCAGAGGATGCCCCAGATGGAGATGAGGTATCCACTAGGCAGTACCGTGCCGCGTGCGTGGTGGTGCTGACCCACGGTACAGAGTACCACGCAGTTGGATCAAGCAATAGTGGCACCCGTAGCGCAGTAGATGCCGGCATAGAATACTCCACATTCAACCTGCTTATCAAGCCTTAGTTCGAACTGCTTGTCTTGCAATGGCGAGGTGGATTTCGATTGGGCAGCGATGCACATTCGTACCAATGCAGGGTGCTGACCAAACATCGCCACTATTGAGTCCATTGCGCACGGGGGGCGAGAGTTCCCTTGCGATGTGACGAAGATGAAGTTGGTCAAGGAAATTTTCGGTACAGGTGACGTTGAGAGCCCAGCGAGGGATTTAGTGGGCAAAGTGTCAGACTTTCAGCGCGAATGATAGACAGGGGAAGGCCATCACCCCGGGACTGGGCACGAAGCTAGGGTCGTAGGTGAAATGCTTAAGAATTGTGCCTCGACCAGAAGGCGTAGAAGATCGGCGTTGGTGAGTTCGGAGTCGTGCAGACCACCGACCAGACGATGGAGTTTTGGGAAGGAAATGGTCGAGATGGAACGTCGCTTGTGGCGAGGAAAGTGAGTAGCATGGGAAACCATCCAGCGCGACAATTTGCGACAGGAGATGGGGTTGTCAAAGGAGTGGTGACGAACACGTGGAACAAGCACTCGACCATGCGGCAGAGAACCACGGATCCCGGCGGACGCTAGCCTTGGCAGCACCTGCAAAAACTCCGACGACACGGAATTCTCCGACTGTGCCTGAGCTGTACCTTTTCCATTGCCGCGGCGTCGTCACCTTGTTTTCGTGGATTACCCGAAACACGCAGACGAATGAGATACTCCGGCTCACTCACGTCAGCAGAGTGCATCTGTGTTGCCCCTCGACGCGCGGAAAACCCTGGTTTTTCCCCGGGATCGGGACAGGCGGGATTTGCATTCGAAAGTCGTGACTCGCGCGCCGAATCCGCCCCTCTGTTCAAACATTGCACCGAGACCGTTTACCCGGCACATGGCTCCGCATACAGTGTTTGAGCGGTTTCACCGTACTGGATACCGTTGAGTAATCGTCGACAGAGTACAGACCAGGTAGGCAATGATCGACAAGTCATGTTGGGAGCGCCGAGGCTGCTTGGATGCCCTCCCGTCTGAATGGCGAGCGCAACCGCAATGGTAGCACTATTCAATACCGCGTGAAGTTGTGACAACGACCTGATGTTCTTTGATGCACGGCGGACGTAGCCAAGCGCTTTCGTGCCGTGCTTTCGCTGCAAGGAGTTGGGCGCTTTGCGCAATGGGCATTGGTTTCGAGCAAAGTTAGCCTTTGAGCTTCTCGGCAAAATTGTCTACAGTCAACGTCCACATCCGATGATTCCAACGAGAGAGACGACGTTGGCTGGGATTTCCTGCTTACAGATCAGAGCCTACGAGCGCGGCTATTAGCGCCACCCCAATAGCCTTGTGCACCTGAAGGCTAGTCCGGGATTCCCGAAAGCCTTGCCTCCGGTCGTAAGAGCGACGGAGAGCCGTCTCATTGGCGCCATCTCTTATGGCCTTGCGAATCTGTAGACTGCTGCGAGCCATCCGCGCGTCTTGTCATTGTTAAGAACTTGACAGAGAGCTGGCCACGTAGATGTACGTTTCGACGTTGCACATCACGCGATCCCGCATGGACATCTGGCGCATCTAAGAGTAGACGGCGCCTTCGCAGTGCTAAAGAATAATTTCAACTCTAGCTCTGGCACTTTCCTCTGACGTGCGCGCATTGGAGAATTTAGCTTGCTCGGCTTAAGCTGACGACACCCATGTAATCTTCAAGCACTCACCCTACGATCTTGTTGTTGGGCCCCTGGCAAACCCATCCAAACGTAAGGCATACGAGGCATTCCGCGCCAAATTCACTACGCCTTCCTTCCTGAAGCATACCCTTATCAATGAGGACGAGAGTCAAATCTTCGTCAGCGGCTTGAAAATGATGACAGCGACGGACGTGTACCGCGGCTGGCTCTCCATAGCTTTTTGGGTGGAAGGCGCTGCTCCCGAAGGGTTGAGGTGGTTCTTTGAGCTTGGGCGACGCTATGAGAGAACACCGGTGGCCAAATCACCCAATTTTCTATCGCGGTCAGCTCTCTGCCACTATTTGATCGGTGGCGAGGTTCTGGACGGGTTGAGCTGATCCTTTGAGTTCGTGAGACTGTATGAGAGGACACTGCTGGCCAAGCTACCCGGTATTCTGGCGCGGTCAGCTCTCCGCTGCCTCCTGATCGAAGACAGGATTCACCATCGCTTACGTGAGTTTCAAAGATTTGTGAGATGGAAGCGAGGATGATGTGTGCCAAGTACTTGTATACGGAAAGAGTACAGGATGAAAGAATGTTCTATAAAGCTGTGCCAGCGAGTGAAAGAATGGCAGAGTCCAATGAAATAAGCGGCCGCGCTGCGGCCTTTTGTTGCTGAAGTGACGAACTTGATCGGTGTTGTTAAACTACCAGTTGAAAGTCCACGGGCTCCACGAGGGAGTGGACTGGGCCGCGGGCGTCCAAGTGGGAGTCGATTGTGCAACCGGCGTCCAAGCAGGAGTCGACTGTGCAACCGTCGTCCAAGCAGGAGTTGGCTGTGCAACCGGGGTCCAATGGCTCCAAGCAGGAGTCGACTGTGCAACCGGGGTCCAAGCAGGAGCCGACGGTTCAACTGGCTGCCATGGGCTCCAAGCAGGAGTCGATTGGGCAACGGGAGACCATGTGGGCGTCGATTCAACTGGAGGCGACCAAGGGCTCACTGTCCAGGTCGGAGTGGATTCAGCGGGAAACGTCCACGTGGGGAACGGTTCGACGATTGGGGTCCAAGGGCTGACCGTCCAGGTAGGAGTGGATTCGGCCGGGAACGTCCACGTGGGAAATGGCTCGACGGTTACGGTCCATGGGCTTTGTGTCCAGGGCTTTTGCGTCCACGTGGTACTCGTCAAAGTGGATGTTGGCCCCTCGGTCGATTGGCTCGACTTCGTGGTAGAGAATGTAGTAGGGGTTGATTGAGTGGTGGCCGTCGACTGCGTGGCGCTCGATTGCGAGGTGGCGGTTGATTGAGTGCTAGTAGATTGCACACTGGCAGTCGATTGCGAGGTGACAGTCGATTGCGACGTAGCAGTCGATTGAGTAGGGATGGATTGCGTGCTGGCCGTAGATTGGGTAGCGGTGGATTGAATGCTAGCAGTTGATTGGGGACTAGTGGTAGACTGCGTGCTGCTGGTCGTTTGCGTGGCGGTCGACTGAGTGCTAGCAGTGGGCTGCGAGGTGGTAGTCGATTCCGTAGTGGCCGTTGATTGGGCGCTAATGGTCGATTGCGTAGACTGAGTGCTAGCAGTGGATTGTGTGCTAGCGGTGGATTGTGTAGTGGCTGTGGATTGCGTAGCGGTCGACTGAGTGCTAGCAGTTGATTGTGGGCTAGAGGTCGATAGGCTCGAGGTCGAGTGGCTCGATGTCGATTGACTCGAGGATGACGGACTAGAAGTCGACTGCGTAGAAGTCAACTGACTCGAAGAAGACGGGCTTGAAGTTGACTGGCTCGTGGTGGGAGTGGGCGACTCGGTTGACTTTGTAGTAGTTGTCAACGTGGTGATGGTTGATTGAGTGGTGTGCATCGATTGAATAGTAGGAGTCGTTTGGGTGGTAGGCGTCGACACCGTGGGGATCGAGACCGTAGGAGTCGAGACAATAGTCGGCGTAGACACTGTGGATTTAGCGGAAACCGTTGGTGTCGAGATTGTCGTAGGCGTAGAAACCGTCGGTGTCGAGATCGTCGTAGGCGTAGACACTGTGGTTTGAGCGGAAACTGTCGGTGTCGAGATCGTCGTAGGGGTGGAAACTGTCGGTGTCGAAATCGTCGTAGGGGTGGAAACCGTCGGTGTCGAAATCGTCGTAGGGGTGGAAACCGTCGGTGTCGAAATCGTCGTAGGCGTAGACACTGTGGTTTGCGCCGAAACCGTAGGAGTCGAGACGGTAGTCAGGACAGAAACCGTAGGAGTCGAGACGGTAGTCGG